GCTTTAAGGCATGTAAGTGCCGAGTAGCGTAGAACTAGAATATTTTCTAGCATTACGTGCAGGTATTAACTACCCTGTTAAGCAATTAAACGGGTAAGGCGTCTACTATATCTTCTAAGCCTATAAAATTAGAGTTGCTATATAGCCTTCTTGCTACCTGTATATAGTCTTAGGTTTTTTAAGACGATACTTAGAAGGGATATAATAGTCGTGGCATGTTCTTATTTATATAGTAGATTAATAGGTTACAATAACTAATTTATATAGGCTAAGATTATTACCTTCTTGCTCTACACGCGCGTATTAATTCTGTAATTATCTAGCACTAGAAAGTACTATTAGAGAGACTAAACTCGTATTACGCACCCGTTCTATTAAGCTACGTAGTAGTGTCTCTAGTTAGAACGTAATGTTGCCTGCTATTTAGGTCTACTAAGAGCTAGAACCTAGTAACGCAATTCTAGTTCCCGTTTTGCGTCGCCTGTAAGAGTCTCCTTATAACAGGTCGACCGTGTCTTACAGGCTACCTCTAGCCTCTATCGCTAACTCGCTGCCTTAGCGGCCGCCTAAGCGAAAGCCTAACGCCTTTCTACAAGCCGTTACCTCTTCTACAAACACCGCGAACTTCTCCTCGTCCCTCTCCCCGCTACTTATTATACCATGGCGGCCGCTTTCTAGAGATAGCTATTAATTGTTTAATATTCTATCGCGTAGTAAAACTCTATGTATAACATAAAACTGCTAGCGAAAGCAATTACATGTTCTTTCCTACTTAGTTAGATAGGCTAAGGTAATACGTATTCCGCGGTTAATCTGTCTACTATATAACACTATTAGTATACTTTCTCTACATAACGTATTAAGCGTTCTATAAGAGGTAGAGAAATACGTAGAGGTTAAAGCGTTTATAGACGTAGACCTATAAGAAGAGCTAAGTGTTGTATAGCTTAGTACTAAATATTTGTTAGTTCTGCGACGCGGGTAGACCTATTAGGTAGCCTGTAGCGTAACCGGACAGTTCCTACGCAATATGCTAGCAGCTTAATACCTCTAGACTGTTAGGCGGCTGTCTGTTAGGCGGCGGAGAGCGCCAAGAAACTCGCTAAATCGAGAGTACTTTTTTAGCGATATTAAGAATCTTTAGCTTAAAACCCGCGAAGCTAGTAAGGTTGCGAATTAACAAGTTGTTTATTACTGTGTCTATTATATTAGGAAGATTAGCTAGAAAGAAGAAGCCCTTAATATTAGACTTAAATATTAGCCGCATAGCTGTAGCCATAGTCTAAGTAGATAATAGAGAGCGTTTTGCTATACGTGTCTATTACTAGTAGAATAGTCGTCTATATCCTATTAGTTAAGTAGAATAGAGTTAGCCGAGTTTCTGCTAGCCAGGGCTTCTTCTTAGAGATAATAGCTAAAAGGCCCGCGTACTAGAAGGCGACAGTCTAGGTAGAACGCTATTCTAGATAATTCTTCTCGCGGGAGCTAAGCTTTAGAAGAGAGGACGGGTCTAGTTTAAAACATAGTGTTAACCGATAACGTCTAAGACTTGTTAACTAAAGGGAAGGCGGAACAAAGGGAAGGTAGAACGAAGGGAAGGCGGAACGAAGGTATAGGCAAGCAGCTAGTAGCCTATAGAGTAATATACTAGTGTGCCGCCAAGAAGATAGAATATTAGCGGAGGAACTATTAGTCGAGAGGAGCCTGTTAATTAACAGGGTAGTACTACAGAAAGGTAGTGCTACAGCAGAGAAGACTGCTAGAGTGTAGCCTATGTCTGCTAGTAACAATTAGAATAAGAGGTGTAGTTCGTACTAAGAGCGAACTATACGCTAGTAATAAATAGTATATAGAGTATTATAATAGTATATTACTTCGCATCTTAACGCGATATTGCTCTTCTCTTATATTCTTCTTGCTTCTCTATCTATAAGTAATATGCTTCTTTATTAAAAATAAAGTTAAGTATAGTTAATATACCGCCTAACCTAAGTATATTAACATAGTTCGCGACACAGATACATTAGATTGCGAAGAGTTTAAGAAGACTAGGTTAAAATGTAATAACGAGGCTATTTAAGTAAAGAATAAAAGCGGGATAGGTATTATATTTAGCTTAACAACTAGACCTAGAGCTTACTCTAAGTACCTTTCTTAATATTACTATGTTAAAATTAGTATATTTACTTCTAGCCTACTATACGCTAAATTAACCTTCTACTAAGTATAAGAGCTAGGCTAGAGTTATTAAGTAGAATCTAGTAGAGCAACGCGTAGAAATAGCTAATTAATATAAAAAGCGCTAGTTTTAGATTAAGAATTATTACATACCTTTAATTTTCTTATAGATACTTGTTACGTCTAGGTACTTATTACACTAGCACTTAGAAATAATCTTTCTAAGTAGTCTAAGAGAATCTATTTATAGAAAACTTCTATACTTAAAGCGCTTATTAATTTCGTAATTAGAAAGATTATAATATAGGCTCTAACCTATTATAATTATATATAGCGTAGAACTAAATACAAAAATATTAGCCTTAATATAATAAGTATCTCTAGGTCTTCTATAACTCTCTGTAACTACAACAAGTAGTAGAGATCTATCTAGAGAGAAGCTAGTAAAGTCTGCAAGTTTCGCATTAAGGTTTGCATCTAGTAGAATATTAAATATGTTTAGATTACTATAGACTACCCCTCTTATATGCACGAAACAGAGCGCGCTAATAATTTATTGCGCCTATTATATCTTCTACTTGTAGTTAACTTTGTTCGCGTAAATATAACCTCTAAAATTGTAGATACAAATATACTTAAGGCGAATACTAATATTATAGGGCCTAAGGTATTACATAATATTCTTATGTCTACTATGTTTCTTAAAGCGCTTGTAAATGCGCTGTTCTACGTTAATATTAGCTTTGCCCTAACTAAGCAGGGACTTAACAACAGTTTGCGAGGCCTCGTCGAGAAGTATTAGACCTAAAATGCCATGTGCTAGGATGTTGTCCCTAGAAAAGCTAGCAGGAAATTGCAGGATTCCGTTATCCCCCATGGTATGGGTTCGAGAGGCGAGAGGAGTCGAAAGGCGGAGGGATAAAAGCGAGCGTGGGGAGTTCGATGCTGGAGACTAGTTAGCAGAGTAGATTTGTCTCGCATCATCCGAGCACGAAACAGGAGGCGCGCTGGTGAAGACTCGTGGTCGGAGGAATGGGGGCGCAGCAGCCTAGGGGGGCTTAGTAATAAGGTTAAAGCTCTAGCCGCTAGGAAACAGTTCTAGGAGGAACTTTCTTGTCTAGTACTAGCTCTATTAGGCACACGCGCAACTCTCCAATCCTGCTTGCATTAGCACGAAAACGGAATAGGGCGGGGCAAACATTTCCAGCCTAAACCTAGAGTCCGGGACAACGTCGGCCTGAGCGCCACCAACACAGCCTCGTCTGGACCTGCGACTGAGGGGCGTCTTGCATGCTTCCTTCGAGCGTCCGCTCCTGAATACAGTAAAGGGAAGGGGAAGATTCCCTGCCGCTGGGGTCCATGAGACATCAGCCCAGGGACTGTGCCGTTCTCAACCCTTGGCACCCTGCTACGGCCCCGCTGCGGCAGAGGGACCAGGCAGCCATGAAGCGGGGGAGAGAGGGGCTTCGAGTCTTCCTCGCACGACGATGGCAAGCCCGGGTGAACGAAGCGCTTCAGCAGCCTGCTCATGAAGACGGGGCGGCACAGGTTTGATGCTGCGGTCGTGAACCGGCGATGTCTGGGACAGGACCACGGCTCTCGCAAGTTGGGATAGCGTCGGCAATATCCTCTATTTCTGTACCCTCTGAGAGGTCATGCGGCGGGGTATAACCAATTGCAAGCCCGAGAATGCTCAGCCACAGTTCCCTGTCGTGCCTCCGCGAGCTCCAGTCAGGCTGGCCCTCCCAGCTCTCGCCCTATTCGTGCCGGCACCTGTCCGCCCTGGTTTGCGTGTTGGAGAATAGGCGGCGAGGCTGGACACTGCAACTCGCCATTGTGATGTGAAGCAGGAAAGGACGGCCCACAACACGAGGCGACGTGCGCTCAACAACCAGCCGGCTGAAGAAGATAGGGCTGCAGTGGCACAGGAAGCCGTACAGCCACGACTGGATGACACACCTGTGCAATCAGCCGCACCCCACCCCAAGATCCCCACCCAAAGGGAGTTGGGAAGGCACAGTAGAAGCAGCGCACCGCGTTGTCTCGCATTCAGACGCAATTCTTCGGTATAACGCAGTGTGGTATCTTCTTGTATGCCCGCTAACCGGGATAGCTAGGACTAACGTTAACATTCTCGCACAGCGGAGCGAGTTGCCGTGCACGTCACTTCGGCTAGGCTGCCGCGTTTGTGCCCGACCAAACCCCATTCCTACCGCCCCCGTCCACCTCCATGCGAGACAATGCGTCTCTTGCGAACGCGTGTGGAGCGATAATCGAAGACGGGAGCGAACCTGTCACGCTTATCTGACGGCGAAGTGGCTGGGCACGTGGCTGGGGCTGGGGTAGGGTGATGGGTCCAAGCTTCAGCCTCACGAAAGCTGGCCCCACTGAAACCACGATGATACAACCAGCAACCAGCGGACAATCCTGACTCTGAAGTTGCTCCCTGGTAGGACGAATCCCGAAGGCCTATTCTACGCGATCTTGCCTCACCCCCAAACGGCGCTGCCGTCTACTACGCGCCGTTATTACTGCTGCCTACTCCGCGCCGTTATCACTGCTGCCTACTACGGGCCATTATTACTGCTGCCTTCTTCCCATGCGTAGCCTTCGCTGCTTCTGAACGGCACAGCAATACTTCTTTCGCTACGTTCAATTGAGATAGACTCCGACGCCCGCTCGCGCGCAACGACGGATACGGTCGACCACAGCAGCAGCAACCGCCACCTCAAAGAGCGCCAGGGCATGATACTAGGATGAGCGGATACCGAGATCAGCTTCCTCAGGGCTATGACCAGCCGCCTCAAGACTACGACCAGCGTATGCCTACACGAGGGCCTCCACCAGGCGTGGGCTGCGGAAGACCTGTTCAACTTCACCCCATTAAAAGCCCTGGAGGCAACGCCTATGCATTCGGCAACTTGTATGCCTCCTTAGCACAATATATGGATGCTCTTACTGATCTTCGCACAGAGCTGCCGTGTCTCCACAAGATTTCCCGCCCTCGCGGGACGGCTCTGACATCTACATACGGGTCAACCACAACTACGTCCTCTCCGCGCGGCCTTTCGAGGGCTGCCGTCCCGGCGAAATTGGCTTGTCGGATGCGCAGAGAACATGGGCGGGCATCTCGCTCGGTCCTCAAGACGTGGTCACTGTCGAACCTTACGATGCGTTCGCTCAGGGCGGCCAGTCATACCTGGGAAACATTGAAGTTGAGGTTGGGTTTGCCACAAGGAAGACAACTGAAGTGCTGTATGATCAAGAAGAGCTTGGAGCGCTTTTTAAGAAGGTACGTTCGCAGGAATCATCCGCGATATGGTGGTACTGACCTGACAACTTGCAGAACTTCGAGAACCAGGTCCTTGCGCCTGGAGAACAACTGCTCATGGACGTCAAGAACATTGTTCTCAGGTTGTCGATACGGACTGTTCAACTCGTCGATCTATCCATGGAGAAAGCGGAATCCGCCTCTAGGGATTCGCTTAGGGACCCTAATGCCCGAGGTATCCTCACACGGCACACCCAAGCCGACTTCTTCAAGGATGCGCGAACCGACATCAAGCTGAAGGCTTCCAGTAGGCGTCTTGCTGCTAACTCCATTGTTCAGCCTGGGTTTAAATTCGAAGACATGGGCATTGGCGGCCTAGATACCGAATTCAGCGCCATTTTCCGGAGGGCATTCGCTTCTCGCATCTTCCCACCTAGCCTCGTGGAAAAGCTTGGTATCCAGCACGTGCGAGGTATTCTTCTTTTCGGTCCGCCAGGAACTGGCAAGACCTTAATCGCACGCCAGATTGGTAAGATGTTGAATGCCAGAGAGCCTAAAGTTATTAACGGGCCTGAGGTGCTGAACAAGTACGTTGGTCAGTCCGAAGAGAATATCCGAAAACTCTTTGCCGATGCAGAGAAGGAATACAAAGAGAAGGGTGACGAGAGCGGCTTGCATGTTATTATCTTTGATGAACTGGACGCCGTCTGCAAGCAGAGAGGATCTGGCGGAGGCAGCAGCACTGGCGTTGGTGACAGTGTCGTCAATCAACTCCTCTCGAAACTTGACGGCGTGGAGCAGCTAAACAACATTCTTCTCATCGGCATGACTAACAGAATGGACATGATTGACGAAGCGCTGCTGCGTGCTGGTCGTCTTGAAGTTCACATGGAAATCTCCCTTCCAGATATGGTGGGCCGGGCTCAGATCCTAAAGATTCATACAACTAAAATGCGTGCTAACAACGTCATCGACGGCGATGTTAACGTTGAAGAGTTGGCCAAACTAACGAAGAATTTTTCAGGCGCCGAAATCAATGGTCTAGTCAGAGCAGCCTCGTCCTTTGCTTTCAACCGCTATATCAAAGTTGGCACCATGGCTTCTATCAACCCTGACGTAGAAAATATAAAGGTAAGTGACTCTTTATTTGAGTTGGCTTGCATTGCATCGAAGGGTAGATTTCAGCTATAAAAACGCGGCATTTCGCAAGGCCTCACGCAGATTCTTTGCTAGCCATAGTCGTTGACACCCCTCTGGATGAGCTTAGCTAACCTGATTGTCCAACATAGGTCAACCGCCTTGACTTCCTGAATGCACTCGAAGAGGTAAAGCCGCTATTTGGTGCAGCAGAAGAGGAACTCGGGAAACGTCTACTCGACGGCATCGTGCATTTCTCTCCATTTATCAACGACATACTCGGGGAAGCAAGGCTCTATATCAACCAGGTCCGTAAGGGCTCAACAGCAGTTCTCTCTGTTGCCCTACACGGGCCACCAGGTAGCGGCAAGACCGCACTGGCGGCGAAAATGGCCATCGACTCGGAATTTCCGTTCATTAAACTCATATCGCCTGAGGACATGATTGGCTTTAGTGAGATGCAGAAGGTACAGCAGCTTGATAAGACTTTCCAAGATGCATACAAGAGCCCTCTCAGCATCGTTGTTATTGACAACATTGAATTGCTCATCGACTGGGTGCCCATTGGAGCGCTCTTCAGCAATAGGGTACTGGTGGCACTCAAAGTTCTGCTTGCGAAGCAGCCGCCCAAGGTAAGCTAAAAGCTGGCACCTACCTCAGGGCTTGAAGGCGCTCAGACTGACAAGCACAGGATCGCCGCCTGTTGATTTTCGCGACTACGACCGAGCGGTCGGTGCTTAATCAGCTGGATCTGTTCAGCCGGTTCGATGCAGAGATCGCAGTGCCAAACGTCAACACGCAAGCCGAGCTCGCGCACATCTTACAGGGCTCGGGAGCATTTTCAGATCGCGATCAGCAGCGTGCTATCAGAGAGATTCAGGAATCTACAGGCAGCGCAGAGATAGGGGTCGGCATCAAGAAGATCTTGACGGCCATTAAGACGGCCAAGGAGGACCAGGACGTGCCTGGCCGCTTCGTTAGAGTCATGTCTCAAGCTATTGCAGCCAACAGAAGCTTGTACACGTGAGCACAGCATTGGATTGTGGTTCCACTCGGCCTCAAGGCCTCGAGCCTCTTTTGCGCTCCCGGCAGGGACTAGACATTGGGAAAGCTACGCATACAAAGATAGACAGAATGGAAGCGCAGCACTGCCCCCGTGCTACTAGGTTAGACCAAATTATTTCAAGGCGTCAAAGCCTACAGCTTCAAGCGACCCGTTGGGCGCATTGTGGTATACTCCGACAAGCCTTGGTATAACACGGGGACTCCTTCGACTTTCTTGACATCGTGGAACATCATAATACCTCCCACCCCAGCTACGATGCTGGCCAACGCGACAAAAAGACCGGTCGCCCATGACGGTCTGTGGTATCTATTGTAATGCCACATGTAGAAGCAAAGAGCGATTTGAAGAAAGTATTCCACACGTTCATCCAGACGACAAAGTCCATCTTCCAGCTTTTAGTGGGTGGTGCGTGGATTCCGGTAGGCGGAGGGTCCGGTATCTTAGCGTGCGGAATCGGTACTGCCGGATCTTCGGAGCTGACAGTCGAAGCAGACGCATCTTCAGGTAGATGATCTGAGCCAGGGAGGCGAAGCCATCCTCGATGGATCCCAGCCAGTCTTCTTATGCCGGTCTGCTTGCGCTTTGGGCCACCGATCCGCCACCATCCCCACCAGTACAGATCGCGGAATCTCCAAGGAGCAAGACCGAAGCCAGTAACGCAGAAGAGCTCGTTAAGAATCTGTAAGTCTATCTCTATCCAAATCCTTCGCGGCGATTGTAAGTCATTGCAGTCTGGATGGCACATGGCGGGGGCAGCGTTGCAGAGGAGAAGGAACAGCATACCGCCCCATGCGACCACGTTCAAGCAGTATAGAGTGATGAGGAAACCGGCTGGTGTGAGAAACCATTTCCAGAACGCTTTAAGTCCGATCGCGGTGGATGTCGTCCAAGGGACTTTGGGGGGAGGTCTGTAACCGTACGTGGCCTACAAGAGGGTCAGATGTGGTTGCGAGCATGGTGATGAGCAAGCCTACCTTTCGCGTAACGGGCTGAGGCCGCATCTCCATACTCTTCGCGGATTCCTTGGTGACTTCTGCACCCTGCATCGCCTCCTTCGTAACTAGGTGGTTTCGAGAGAACCTCCCCGGGCGGAGTGTCCCGTGTTGGATATGCGCTCATCTCTTCTTCTGTCACTGCTGGGAATGGCTCCGTTCCCCTCGCCCTCAATAAATTCGACGAGCTTGTGCCCTTCCTCAAACCTATCAAATGGCCCATGCCGTGATGGAATTCTTCGTATGATGCGGCAATACTGGCGAGTTTGGTCTGACCGAGAATTTCGTTGGCGATGAGCCAATCCCTCCCTATGCGATACTTTCACACACTTGGGGTCCGGACACTGAGGAGGTCACTTTTGATGACCTGACCAATGGCTGTAGCATGGCCAAACCTGGCTATGAGAAGATCCGGTTCTGCGGAGCACAAGCTGGACAAGATGGCTTGCAATACTTTTGGATTGACACCTGTTGCATTAACAAAGCAAACAAGGCCGAGCTCTCGCAGGCTATCAACTCCATGTTTTCCTGGTACCGCAACGCGACTCGGTGTTACGTCTACCTGTCGGATGTTTCGACGGCTAAGGGGAAAGCTAGCGACGGACCCTCCGAATTTACTTGGGAGCCGGCTTTTCGAGTCAGCAGATGGTTCACTCGTGGTTGGACACTCCAAGAGCTTCTTGCGCCAAGTTCGGTCGAATTCTTTTCCTGGGAACGCAGGCGACTTGGTGACAAGAATTCTCTGAGGCGCCAGATTCACGAGATTACGGTTATTCCTGAGTTAGCGCTTGAAGGAGCCCCTTTGTCTCAGTTTAGCGTTAATGAGCGATTGTTATGGATAAAACACCGCCAGCCTAAGCTTGAAGAAGATAGAGCGTACTCTTTACTCGGCATTTTTAGGGTGTATGTAGCTCCTATCTACGGCGAAGGGATAGCAAGCGCTTTCAAACGGCTTCGAGAGGAAATCGGCAAGCTGGAGCAATGTATCCAGGACTTACACCTCACCGATCCCCGGGATGATAAGAAGCGCATCGAGGACACCAAGGGTGGCTTGCTGAAGGACGCATACCGCTGGATCCTCAAAACCCCCGACTTCTAACGATGGCGTGACGACCCGCGGATCCGCCTACTATAATCAAGGGCGATCCCGGGAAGGGCAAGACGATGCTGCTATGCGGCATTGTGAACGAGCTAAAGAAGTCGATACCTAATACGGATCTCCTGTTCTACTTCTTGTGCTAGGCTACAGACTCGCGGATTAACAACGCTACGGCCGTGCTACGAGGTCTATTGTACATGCTTGTTAATTAGTAGTTATTGCTTGTCTCGCATATTCGGAACAAGCACGACTACGCAGGCAAAGCGCTCTTCGAGGATGCTAATGCCTGGGTTACCTTGTTCGAGATCTTTACAGACATTCTGCAAGACCCTAGCTTAAACAACACGTACGATCTCCTAGTTAATAACTCGAGATGCATTTGCTACTAGTAAAGTTGCGCTGGAAAGCGTCGATCGTTAGGTGTGCGAGCTGAACTGCGAGCAACGTGGCGCATTAACACTGGCGGAACTTAGTGTTAGGTTGTAGAGTCTGAGCTAAAACTGGGCATACGTATTAGAATTAAGCATCCAGCCAGTTACTAAAGTTCTGGCGAGAGACATATTGATCTTGGCTGAAGGAGGGGGACGAGAGTAAAGGGCCTGATTATCCCTCTTCGGGACGGCTAGAAACCTGTCGGCGCTGCCGAGGAATTAGTCTAGCAGCTGGTAGTTATCCTCGAATCGCCAAAAGGTGACGCCACGGGTATTTCTGCAAAGTAGCGCGACTGTGTGTTTTCTAGCTACGGGCTTCCGACCCTAAAGCTTCTCTGCACCTGCCGTGCCGTTAGAAAACCGAATGTGTTGTAATGGCAGAATCTTCTAATCCAAGAGCCACTCGTCCTTTTGACTGGGAATGCAGATGTACTTTCTATAAGACAGACCCTGAGCATCCATCAATGCCCGACGACCATGGCGCCTTGGGCCGCCATTCTAGATGCAGTCTGAGATCGAACTCATCCCGATCGTTTCTAGCTAATGCAGTAGGCTGCGGAAAAGGCCAGTGCGTTAGCACCATACAAGACGGAAACAGCCTCTTATCGCGCCAGCCGGGCACCCCGGCCACGTTCCGTCGAGCCCTGCATCTAGTGGAATGCCACGGATAGCGTGCCTACTTGTCCGGGGTCCCAATATAGCATGTGCGGCCTGCCCGACATCCCCTACTTCGCTGCAGCTCGTTCTCTATTTGTCAGTTCGTGCTCACCTTGCCAACCCAATTCGTTCTTTTGATTCGTGAAGCTGCAAGCTGATTGACGCGGATCCAGCCAGAGACGGCCTTTCCTGCCTGGCTCGTCCTCAATACTATCTGGTCCCTCCATCCTCTTCCCCTCCCCCTCCCTCTCCCCTTCCCCTTCCTCGTCACTCTACACAACAAACGTTTCTGTATTAAACTACATCAACCTCTCCCATCCCTAGCAGCCATGGCCATGTACTAGCTCTTCATCGTCTGCGCCATCGCCCTCATCGGCGTCCGTGCCGACGACCTGTCCGATTTCTCCAACAATCTAGCCACAGACATAGGCCCTCTTCTCGCCCTTTTCGGAGAGTCCATGACCCGGCAGTACCTGAGCGAGAGCACGGACTTTCTGGACTATTTCATCTTCGCCATGGCTCCGATCGGCATCCTCACTACCATCGTCTCCACCATTCGGGTATGTGGAAACCCATCTCTCCGGGCCTTCATCGGCAGGTCTTAGGAAGGCGATGGCGTTGTCGAGGCCGAACTCTGCACGTCCACGAGCCGCGATGTGTGCGAGCTGTTTTACAAAGGCGGCATCACGCGTGTTCTCGGCCAGCCAAACGTCCTCGAACTCGTCCATGTTCCGCGCCTACACTCTCCAGACGAGGTAGGGTTGTACCCCTTCAAGTATTACCTCAAGGAGTACTGTTGTCGGGAAAGCTCCGACGGGACCGAATGGAGAGAAAGCCCTGTCGCCAATGGCTATTCTCTCATCTCCCTAGTCCCCCGAAACCCCGGAAGGAATTCGCTCAAAAGCCCAATCTCTCGCTCAACGTCGGCATCAAAAGACAGAACGACTGGGTATTCTTCGCTATTGCTGTCGTGGGGCTTGTCCTGCAAGCCGGAGTCGTCGCTTTTGCCGGAGTCAGTGTTTGGATTCTCAGATGGAATATTAACGCGGAGACGCTGGCCGCCAGGGACTACGCACCAGCCATGTCCATCACTGGCACCATCCTCATGTGTGGCGGCATGTGGAGCTGCGCCGCTCTGATTGGAGAGACGACGGACGAACGTCGATTCATACGCCCACGGGAATCCGCCTCAAATAGTCACCTTTACTGGCTCCAGCCCAAGCAAGACGTTGGCGGCCAAACCTTTGATGCGTTTGCTTATGTCAACAAGGCAAAGGACAAGACAAAGGACAACGCAAAGGGCAAGACAGACGAAGATCCTCTCCTTTACTGGACGTTATCGATCAAGGACCTCGAAAGGAAGTTCGAGCCACATACCATCGCCGCTGTCGCGACCGTGCTGGTCGGCTACATCATGCAGTTCATCGGCCTACGTGGAATGAAGGCCTGGGTCTCTCTCGCCCAGTTGGGTATTACTCTTGTTATGAGCGTCTGCGTGGACTCCTCCGTGTGCAGCGCCTTGGCAGGGACGCGAACAAGCTCGTCTCACAGCCTGATCGGGACGTAGAGGACAAGCATGACCAGCTTAACCTGGTATCAGGCCATGAGCTCGACTGGCTAGCATTTGAGATTGCCCTGTTAGAATCGCATGAGGGATCGTCCTGGCACATCGTCGGCACATCCGGCTACCGCAGGGGGGCTGAAGAAACACAGAGCAGCGATTCAAAGCGCAGTGACCAGCTCAACTGCAACGACTTGCCCCGAATCCGTACGCGACTCGCCCATTTAACCGGCCATCATCCCTCCCACCCCTTAGACGATTCAGAATGTAAGAACTAGGAAGATGCATGCGTTAGAGTACGTGCGAAAGCACGCCAGCTCTCTAGCGCCATTCTAGCCGCGGCCAGTCTAATCAAGAAGGAGCTAGTAACGAAGGAAATTAAGCTTTACCTTCAAGCAGCCGCCTCAGTCGAGGGTAGTCAAGCAACTGCTCCAATCGAGGTCATTCTCAAAGCGCCAGGCGAGATCGGTCGGACCATCGACTCCGCACAAGTTGAGGCAATCCTCGGTCTGTGGTTGTGGACTTTGACTCGACAAATACGCGCCAAGAAGGTCCCAATCACGAGGATTGTGTATGCTGGTTCTGAGAACTGGAACGCTGAAGCGAACGTACGGGACATGGACCTCTGGCTAGGCCCTAACACAGTGACATTTAAAAAGGGAACGGTCATTCTCGAGAAGGACGGTATTTACGGCCTTGCCACCCAATGGGAAGCCGAAACCGGCAAGACAAACTGGAAGCCTACAGCATCGAATAAGAACCGACCGCAGCGGTTCTGCGGATGGAATTCTCTAAGACCAAGTACTGCAGATTTCAAAGACATTGTGGAGGGCAAAGGCGATGGTATCGCGCTCGTCCTCCACGGCCCGTCTGGTAGTGGCAAAACATTGAGGGCTGAAGCCGTTTCGGAGCGTCTCCGGGTCCCACTGTACTCTATGAGCTTGCCTTCTCGTGGCGCGCTGTTCTCCTCCTGGATGAGGCAGACGCTCTACTTGAGGAACGTCATCGTGGGGACACGAAACGAAACGCTCTGGTATCAACCCTTCTGCCTTCACTTGAGCAGTATCAGGGTGTGATAATCATTACGACGAATCATGTAGATCGGTTCGACAAGGCTTTAAGCTCCCGGGTCCATCTTTTCATCCCATATCAGCCACTCGGTCGCAAGGAAAGACAACGCCTATGTGATTTCTACATCTCTCGAGCTACGAACGAGACTACCACGTTGGGCAAGCGCGACCTGGAGGTTCTAGGCTTAGAAGGTAAGTTTGCATCTATAGTTCATTACACTAGCTTGACTAAACTAGCATAGATAAAGAATATAACCAAGGTTGCCCATTAATTACAATCCGGTTCTCGCCGGCTAGTGTCCCCGGCCGAGAAAAGAAAGACAAAGAGGATTCTCCTAGGCATAGTTTTCTGTATGCATTGCTAAGCATTAGTATCGACTAGGGCAACTAGAGTCTACACCTTACCCACCCATGTTGCTACTTCGTCTATCTGTTCTACCTTTCCACCTATTCCTAATGCATCTATGCAAGATAGATGCGTGCTCTCGTCTATTTCAAAGCTTAATTAATAGCAGAATCCGGGACAGCTGCTGTAGTTACCTATTACGAGCTGTTCTCTTAACTAAGACCGAGGCGTACTTTCGTACGGGGAGGCAAGGGGTATGCTTTAGACGTAGATTATTTAGTAACAAAGAGGTAACGTACTTCACCATCGAACCGCCCACACCATCGAACCGCCCACGATTTCTTGGCAAGGAAAATCAACGAAAATCAACAAGCTTTTCTTAAATAACTAAGCGAAACCTTAATATTTTTCTATAGAAATTTATAGATCTATTCTTTATAGTATCTTACACCTTATACTAAAGTTATACTAAGATATATTACGTAATTAAAAAGCTATACGTATTTTACTAACTTTTAAGAAAAATCTACTTTACTTCTAGTAAGTACTATTATAGCTTAATAATAATCTATAAAACTTATAGTATATAGTATTTAGAACCTAATAAAGGTTTCTAGAAAACTTCTATAGCGCTAGCTCTTCTAAGTATAGCGTAATAAGAGATAGAAATTAGAAAACTTTCTTCTTAGAGCTTTCTTCTTCTAACTATATATATATATAGTTAATCTAGCTATATAAACTTATTATTTTATATATTATAGTTAGTTTTAACTATATAGAGCTTATTAACTAATAATATAGTAGCTTTAAGTAGTTATTTAAAAGTAAAGCCTTTTTAGTAGTATAGTATAGAAAGATAGAAAGATACTAAAACTATTTTAAAATTATTACTTCTAAATATATAAAAAACTTATAGTATATATAATCTTATAATATATAACTTTATATAGCTAGATTATTAATATATATATATAGTTAGAGAAGAAAACTCTAGAAAGACTTCTTATAAATTTCTATCTCTTATTACGCTATATCTAGACAAGCTAGCGCTATAGAAATTTTCTAGAAACCTTTATTACGTTATAAATACTATATACTATAAGTTTTATAGATTATTATAGAGATATAATACTACTAACTAGAAGTAAACTAGATTTTTCTTAAAAGTTACTTAAATATATATAGCTTTTTAATTATATAATATATCTTATTACAACTTTAATATAAGGTGTAACATACTATAAAGAATATATATATAAATTTTTATAGAAAGATATTACGGTTTCGCTTAGTTATTTAAGAAGAACGGGTTGATTTTCGTTGATTTTCGTTGCTAAGAAATTGTAGACGGTTTAATAGTATAGACAGTTTAATAGTAAAGTACGTTAGTAGTAGTAAATTAGAATTCTTTTTAGAGAAATAAGCTATAGTTACGCTAGTATATTCTAGAAATAGAAGCTTCTAAGTAATTAACTAGTAGAGTTTCTTCTTAGAATTAATAGTAGAGATTTTCTTTTTATTAGTAATAAGCTAATTAACCTTATAAATACTAAGAGATCTAATTATAATATCTTTTCTATACGCGTTAATTATAAAGATAATAGCGCTAACTATATTAACGTTAAGCCTAGTCTTTAGGCATATTTTTTATAAAATAGGTAGCTTTTTTAGCTTATAAAGTAACCTAGTAGATAAGCTAAGACTCTTAAGCTACCTATCTATCTTATATAGATTTTCTTAAAGCTACTAGTACTATAATTCTTTCTTCTCTTATTATATTACTCTTAGCTTTTCTATAACTAATATTAAGGTATTATAGTAATTAGTATTAGCTTAGTAAGCTACTTAAGCTTTAGTAGAGAATTAAGATAATTATATAAAGATAAACGCGTTACGTTTATAATTAATTAATTAATTAGTATCTAGCTATATTAGTATATACTACTTATAGTTAACCTAAACGTTAGCTTCTTTAAGTAGCTTATATCTAATTATTATATTATAGTAGCTAGTATTATAATATATAAAGTAAGTATATATTTAGTAGCTTTCTAGTACTAAATTAGCTTTAAAGTATTTATCTATCTAGCTATTAGGTTATCTATTATAACTAGCTAGAGAAATAGATTCTATATATAATAACTTAATATAAAGGTTTTTTTAAAGAGTCTAAAGGTACTTTAGGTATACTAGAACGTAACTACCTACTCTAGTATTAATTAAGCCTCTAAGCTTAATAGTAAGACTATTTATAGATATTTAGTAAAGTAGAGTAAATATAGAACTACTAAATAGCTTTTTACGTAGATTTATTACTCTAGTAGATAGCTCTAGAGAAAAGACTTCTTCTAGAGCTAGACTTTTTCTAAATTATTAGATTTATATTCTAACATATTATTCTTAGATACTTATAGCTCTATAAGCTTTATAGACTTTACTAGCTTCTCTAGGTTAACGTTCTTAATAGCTTTCTATATAGTAGAAGCGCTTAAGTAATTATAGCTTATATAGCTAGGTTACTAGTATTAGAAGTAGATAATTAGCTTCTTAATTACTAGAGCTTTATTAGGTGCTAGTAGAAAGCCTAGAAGAGTACTAGACGCGTAACGTAGTATTAACGTAAGCGTGTTACGCTTTTTAACCTTTCTAGATACGTAAGCTTCTTCTAGAGTAAGCTCTTAGATAAAATCTTTAGTAAAGTCTATATATTAATTATAATTATTTATATACTAATATTAATATATACCTATCTATATACGTAGATTTATAAAAAGCTTCTTATAGAATTTCTTTATCTATTAGTTTATTAAAAGCTAACGCTTCTATATAAAGTAGAAGAAATTAATCTAGAAGTATATAAAGTTAGTAGTATTTTAATAATATAGCTTCTAGAAATTATAGTAGATATTTAACTTTTTATATAGGTTTCTATAGCTTTTCTTTAGCTAATTAATTATATATTTATAGAAAATTAGCTTACTACTATTTCTTAGAGTATATAGAATTATAGAGAAAGTCTAGTATATATTTTTTATAGTCTACGTATATATATAGATAATAATAGTTTTCTTAGTCTTTTCTACTATCTCTTCTATATACTAGTCTTAATTAGCTTAAAGCTTATCTTATAACTTATCTCTTTATTATTTAAAAGTAATAACTTTACTATCTAATAGTAAGAAAAAGTCTAGAAACTTAGTAGAAAGTCTTATTTAGCTCTCTAAGCGTTACTTAGTTACTAGTAGTATAGTAAGTATATATATAGTTAGATAAGAACCTAGAATTAAGTTATCTAGTAGTAATATACTAGTCTTATATATATATAGTATTTAATTTAATATACTTTATAAGTAAGCTAGCTCTATAAGTAAGTTAGCTACTTTTACTAAGCCTCTACTAAAAAGCTACTATCTTATTCTAATTTTTCTAGCTCTAAGCTACTTAAGATAAATCTAGATAAGCTATTTAACTTATCTATATTATCTTTAACTACCTAGCACGTTTATACGTTATACTCTAGCTTATTATAGCGTCTATAGCGTTACTAAGCTAGCTAGCTATTATGTACTACTACCTCTTTGCGCTACTTC